TTCTCTGATGGCTAATGACGTCAAGCACCTTTTCAATGTTGAGGGCATGAGGCTGAGTGAAGCATGCTGGTCACAAAAAGACAAATACTGTATGACTCCACTTATGTGAGGTACCCAGAGTAGTCAGATTCATAGAGACCCAAGGAATGGTGATTGCCAGGCACTGGGGGCAACGAAAGACGGAAGCTATTGTTTAATGGGTATAATGTTTCAGTTTTGCAAGATGAAAAGAGTCCTGGAGACAGATGGTGGTAACGGTTGTAATGCTATGAATGTACTTAATACCACTGAAATGCGCACCTAAAAAGGGATAAGCTGTTGCACTGTATGTTAACTAACTATAATTTAAATAAATATTTTTTAAAAATGGATAACCTGGTACATTTTGTTAGGTGTGTTTTGTCATAATTACTAATAGTTTTTTTTAAAGATTTTATTTATTTATTCATGAGAGACACAGAGAGAGAGAGAGGCAACTAATAATTTTTTTTAAGAAAGTAGAGCCTATAGGCACCCGAGTGGCTCAGTTGGTTAAGCATCTGTCTTTGGCTCAGGTCATGTTCCCAGAGTCCCAGGATTGTGCCCTGCATGGGGCTTCCTGTTCAGCTTCTCCCTCTCCTCCCTGCTCGTATTCTCTCTTGTTCTCTCTCATATAAATAAATACAATCTTCAAAAAAAAAAAAAAAAAGAGTAGAACCTACATAGATTTCACATTCAATGACTACAGTGCCAATTCACTGTAGTCCACTTGGATGAGCAGAATTTCTCTTAGTGGCAAGAGTAACTTTGCACCTGTTTAATCACTCCAGAGGCTTCATATTTCTCTGTCTTCATTTTCATGATCTCCTAGCCAAACCTTATCAACAAGACCAAAAAATTTACAGTAGCCCCATTAGCTGTTGTGTTCTGAAGGCCAAGGTCAAAGACACAATGCTCAAAGCCACAAAATAGCTGGGACATCCCACCGTGAGCCAGGAGAGGAGGAGGCGTGGCCCTGCCAGCCACCATTCCCGTGGGTTCTCCAACACACAGAAACTGAGAGCTAACATCTAAGAGTCATGTGGATCCCACACTAGCAAAGGTGGGCTGCAAACAAGAACCTGTCGAGCTCTGCCTCCACCCCCGGACACCACTGCATCTTCCCCTCCTGTTCAACTGACCTCCACGTGATTTGGTGAAGGTAGACTTTGGCTGCTGTGAAAATCAGCATCGACATCCCATGGCCTCAGTGCATCACATGAGGATTTTGTTTTCTGTCTCTAAAACAGGCCTACTTTGCACAATGTGGATTTTTGTTCAGAACCAGTGTCTCCTTTTCCACAGATGGCATGAAAAACAACACCGTTACCTGGATATCTGCTCCTAACACCCTCCATCCCTGGCTTTCCCTGCTTCCCAGCAACTGTTTCTGCTGGAAGAAAACTCCCCAGCCTTCAGGGACCAGCCTGGCTCTCATCCTGCCTGCGTGGTATAGACCGTGCTGCCATTCTTGAATCTGTTATCCCCTTCTCTCATCGTGGGCTCGCCCCCTCTGGCACAGACACTTCTGGCTAGAGCACCCTTTGTGGTGGGGGCTGTTCCGTGCACCGCAGCTACTTAGCAGCATCCTTGAACTCAATTCGCTGAACCCACAACATTTCCCAGCCCTGCCAAGTGTCCCAAGAGCAAGTCTGTCCTTGGCTCAGAACCCCTATCTTTAGGATAGAAGCTAATATGTAGGCCCATGGCCACCCAGCCAATGGCTGACAGATGTGGGAGGTCAAAGGCTGGATCTGGGTCTGAAGGAGGAAGGACACTGCAGCTCCATCCACCATCCGCCATCTGGGTGGGGATCCATTGTCCCTTCTCCAACCACCCATCAGGCTGAGGCTATGACCATGCTCTCAATGGGCTGTCACTCTTCCCCTAGACTGCTTCCCTCTCTCCCCTGCAGGGCATTCTCCTACAACCCCCCACCAAAAGATATGTTATCATCCTCACTCCCACTACCTTAGAACGTGACCTTATCGGGAAATACGGTTATTACAGATGTAATTATTTAAAATGGGGACATAATGAAATAGGGTGGCCCCTTCATTCAACAGGACTGGTGTCCTTAGAAGAAGAAAAAAGACACAGACACGGACAGACAGGTCCTGTGATGGATGGAGGCAGAGGTGGGAGTGGTACAGCTGTCACCCGAGCAATGCCGAAGATTGCCAACAACCACCAGAAGCCAGAAGGCGGCAAGGAAGAGTTCTCTCTGACAGGTTTCAGAGGGAGCGTGGCTTTGATCTTGGACTCCTAATGTCCAGACTGTGAGACAATGAATTTCTGTGGTGTTAAGCCTCTAATGTTTGTTTTGTCACAGCAGCCCTACAAGCGAATAGATTTACACCCAAATCCTTATCTCAAGCTCTGCTGCCAGGGAACCCAACCTCAGACAACTGGCCTTTCCTTTTTTTAAAAAAAAAAAAAAAAATTTTTTTTTTGTATTTATTTATGATAGTTACAGAGAGAGAGAGAGAGAGAGAGAGAGAGAGGCAGAGACACAGGCAGAGGGAGAAGCAGGCTCCATGCACCGGGAGCCCGACGTGGGATTCGATTCCGGGTCTCCAGGATCGCGCCTTGGGCCAAAGGCAGGCACTAAACCACTGCGCCACCCAGGGATCCCCCCCCCTTTTTTTTTAATTTTTTTTTTTGACAACTGGCCTTTCCACTAGCCTTTCTTCCAGTGAGAAGGAAGGAGGAGAGCAGGGGGCAAGGTGGCAGGTGGGAGAAAGAAATTCACTCCGGGGAATCCTTCATTCATTCCACAAATAGTGCTTGATTGAGCACTACTACACACCAGGCACTGTTCTCGGTGCAGGACACACAGAAGTGAACAAAACAGAAACTGTTCTTGTGGGGTTTCCATACTAGCAGGGGAGACAGACCACAGAATGTATGGTCTGCAGGATGATGGTTAAAGTCTCTGGAGAAAAGCAAAAGCAGGAGAAGGGGACAGGGAGTGCCTGGGTGCTGGCTACTGCGTCAGCAGAGACATGCAGTGGACACCACCTCCGGCCCAGCTACAGACGGTCCCGAAGTTCTGCTCGGGCTTGGTCCTGGCCCTTCTTTCTCCTTCCCAGTCTTTCCGTGAGGGTGTGGGGGCCCACCTGACGAGCATGCTAGGGCCAGAATGGCAACCTGAAAAACCACTACTGATGTTCCCTCCTTCCCTGTGTCCTCCTTACCCCTCATTCCTGTTCCCCGGGATAGCCTCCTAAAGAATCTACCTGCACCCAGGTCCTGGTCTTTGGCCTCAGATTTCAGGAGAATCAAACTACAGCAGATGTGCCAGAAAAATCTTCGCTGAAGTTGTGACATTTCAGCCAAGACCTAAAGGAGGCAAGGTGTGTGGATGTCCAGATTCTCTGATGTGCGCAGTCAAGCTGGCGATACAGAGTCGATCTTGTCCGGTGGGTCTCCCTCTTTCAACCCTCTTGATGGTCGAAAACCCAGTGATATCAAATATTGAGGAGGCTACATGGAAAGCACCCAATCTATTCTGATCATGTGATGGGAAGGAGGATACAGGATTATAGCAAACACAGCTAACACTTTGACCATCACCTCCTGGTCCTGATCACTTCAGTGCACACAGGTCTGCATGTAGCTACCAGCTCTTGTACTTTTTTTTTGCATCTGTGGATGTCAAAGGTCTCTTTATCAACCAGTATTAACAGGCCAGAAATGCCAGGGAAGGAACATCTCCATACCCCTGCCAACAGCCTTCATTCAGGGGCTGATAGGAGTTGGTATATACACACCCCAACTCCCCCACCACTCAGGTGGAAAGACTCTAGACATGTGTCTAATCCTGGCTTCCCATTTCCCCAGCAGGTTTAGGGCCTGATCTCCCCAAAGTGGTGGCCAGCTGGATAATGCATACTTTATGTCAATTTCCCACCCTCCTCCTGGTGTTTCCTCTGCTGTCACCTCCCTAATAAATGACTTCCCTTGCCTCAGGATTCTCTTCTTCCTAGGGGGATCCAAATGAAGAGAAGGATAAATCTGTCTTTGAATGGAAACACACACACACACACACACACGAGCAACCCCTCCAGTCCCCATGTTTAAAACCTAATACTCCAGGTATGATGCTGGATCATCAAATCCCTGACCAGTAGAGTTCAGCTTTGAAAAGCACCTTGGCATGTTTGACATAAAATAATCCCGCCTGCATTACACAGGATTGTCACCGTCAGCCTGAATGGACTAGACTGGCCTCCAGCTGGCTGGGTCTTTTCCTTCCCTTGGGCTCCTACCTCGTCCTTCTCTGCACAGTTCGTGCATTGTCATCCACAGAATGCCCAAGGGAGGGACTCTATCAGCCCACTGGGGACAGAGCCTGGTCCGTGGGTGGCTTCCCAAGCAGCCAATTGCAAGTCTGTGGGCTGGTAGGGGGAAAGAAGCCAATCTCACAATTTGCCTGAAAAACATCCATATATCATCCTGTTCTGCAGCCCTCATTTTATTTTTCCCAAATCAATTTCTGAAAGTCAAAATAACTGATAGCTTCATACCCTGGACAATCATTCTCCTTATTAAATAACCCGGCATCAATGACAAAAAAGCTCCCAGGGTGGTGGTGGTTACACGAATCTATACATGTGATAAAATGTCCTAGAACTACAAACACACACACACACACACGCATGCACACACACACACACAATGGTGCATGTAAAAATCTGTGAAAATTCTATAAGGTCCAAAGCTTCATTGCCAACGCCAATTTGCTGGTATTGCTAAGGCACTCTGCTTGTGTAAGATTTCTCACTGGGGTTGCTAGATGAATAGAACACAACCACTCTATATTACATCAGCAACTTCTTGGAAGTAGAAAATTATTTCAAAATGAAAAGTTGTTAAAATACAAAGACAATTTCAATAATAAAATAAAAATAATCATCTTTTTTTTTTTTTTTTTTTTTTGCAAAGATCCCAGCAGGAGACACCACCAAACCACCCCTTACCTGAGAGCTGGGGACCAGCGCCTTCCACCAATGCCCGCCTTTCACCAGGTCAACCTCGCACAAAGGCACAGACACCTTCCCAATGACACAATGGCGGGAAAACTTATCAAAATCCACCACAGTTAGCAGCAGGGTCCTCCTCTGAGCTTCGAGGAAGGGGATCTCGAAGGTGTAACGCTCCTCAAACACAGGCTTCTGGGTCTTGCGTTTGACCCCCGTCTGCTTAGAGTTCTTCTGGTCTGGCAGGAGACAGATCTTGACATAGGGGTTCGAGTGGGCCATGTCCTGGCGCGATCCGTCATGGGAGATGGGCGGTGGCAGGTCCCTGGCCTCGATCACCCGTACCGTCAGGTGGTTGTGCAGCAGGTCATATTGGGTGCTGAAGTGCAGCATGCCCAGCTGGTACTTGGACAAGATCTCCTCGTCTGTTAGGAAGTCCACATCGTCGCTGTTGGAGTCGAGGGAGTACAGCTGGGGCTCGAACTTTCTGAAGTAGTCGTCTGGGGTATAGGTCCGTCTGAGCACCGAGGGCTGGATGGGCTCCTTTTTGGCACTGAGAACGCCAAACTCGATGGGTTTAATATCAATAAGTGGGGAGCTGGGTCGTCTGGACTCAAGACCTAAACAGTCACCAGAAATAATAATTAAGACCACCATGTATGGGACCGAACCTGGGCCACTTTGTGAAATTAGCACCATTTCTCAGATTCTCACATTGTTCACTCTGTTTCATGATGCTCTGTGCCATCTGCTCTCCACACCCTGAGATACTCTTATTTATTCTATGAGAGGTAGCTTGGTGGCATTATCACCTCCGTCACGGCCAGGCACTGTTCTAAATGCACTGACATATCAAGTCATCTTCACAAGGTTTTAGATAACGACTATCCCTATTTGACAGATGAGGAAACAGAAACCTTAAATAATTCTCCAAAAGTGACCCAAGTAGTGAGAGGAAGAACCAGGAGTCAAGCCAAGCCTGTCTGGCTCCAAAGTCTTGACGCTAACCATTACCCTATACTGCCTCCACTTTCAGAGAGTGGACCCTGAGGCCAGAATTTCGGGGACTCAGTTTCCCCATCTGTAAAATGGAGTCAGTAATAGTCCCTACTTCAAAGACTGTGGTGATTCACAGAGCCAATGCATGGAAAGGGCTCGGCATAGAACGTGCACATGGTAAGAGGTCACTAAATGGTAACTATTATACTTTGTCAATGATCATATTTGAACTTCACCACTTGTGGGGCACCTCACCCCTCCCCATCAACCAGCAGAGTTCCCAAGTCCACCATTTGAATCTTTGCTCATTCCTCTATTCTAGCAGTGAGCTCATGGAATTTTTTTTTAAAACTATTTAACTGAAGAAAAAAAAAAAAAACTATTTAACTGAGGCACAAATGGCATACAAAAGGCTGTGCATGAGTTTGGAGGTAAGTATGTATCCATGAAACCATCACCACACTCTGTGCTATCAACATATCCATTATCTCCAAAAGTTTTCTCCTGCCTTATTTATTTAATTTTTCTGGTGATAAAAATCTTTATATAAGATCAAGTCTCTATAAAATTTTAAGTAATAAAATATTGTTAACCATATGCACTGTGCTGTACAGTAGATCTCTACACCTTATTTATCTTGCATAGTGGAAACCAACACCTCCCCAGTTCCCCCACCCTGGCAACCACACTTTACTCTCTGCTCCTAGGAGTTTGACTATTAGATTCCTCTTTTAAAGCAGGGTTATATACTATTTGTTGTTCTCTCATGACATTGCCCGAACACCTGTCATGTCTGCTAAAATCATGACACTTTGGTCTGGTGCATGGTTGGTACTCTGATAACTATGGACTAAATGAAAATCATCTGTGTTTAGAGCTGGGCATGCGACCTGGGACTCATCTAGATTGGTGCCATTCAAGAGAAACATCATGGGTTTTAGAAATACAAACCACGTAGGGAACATAAAATCTTCCAGGATCCCCTTTTTTTTAAAGGTGCAAAGTAACAGGTGAAATTAATTTTAACATTTTCAACATATAATCAAAATTAAAACATTTTAGTGATAGACGGTTTAAATTTTCTTTCAGTTCCTGGCTTCAAAATCATGAGTATAGAGCACATGAGGCGTGTCTCGATTGGGCTCAGCCCCATTTAAATGCTCGCCAGCAACATGTGGCTAGTGGCCACTGTACTGGACAGAGCAGGTCAAGAACAGGCCTCTCATTTTACAGACAGAAAGACTGAGGTCTAGAGAAGCCTCACATGTCTGCTGCTTCACTCTATCAAGCCCTTGAACTTTCTCTATTTCCCCTTCCCCCCACATTTGCCCCCAGGAAAGATAAGACACCAATATTTCCACCTGAGTGGATCTACATCATGAATTTTAAGCTTTTCTCCTCTGTTAAGTGAATAGCAGACAGCTGAAATGACTGCAGTGATACTTTTGGGATGTAAGAGGAGGCTGGGACTCTGGTTTCATCCTCCTTTTTCCTCCCCAGCCAAATTATGCCATTGGGTCAAACACAGACGCTGTACATCAGAGTGGACAGACTGGGTGGCCTGTGGACCCAGTTTGACCCAGAAATCTGCTTTGTTTGGGTTTAAAGCTAAGAAAGTTTTATATAAAAACCAGATTGCCAGTTTCTCTTTAGAAAGGACAGGCAGGGGACACCTGGGTGGCTCAGTGGTTGAGTGTCTGCCTTTGGCTCAGGTCGTGATCCCAGGGTCCTGGGATCAAGTCCTGCGTCAGACTCCCCAAAGGGAGCCTGCTTCTCCCTCTGCCTATGTCTCTGCCTCTCTCTCTCTCTCTGTGTCTCTCATGAATAAATAAATAAACTCTTTTTAAAAAGAAAGGGCAAGCAGTACTGAGCCCACAGTCTCTTTCTCTCTCTCCTACAGGAGAGTTGAGTAGCCGCTGCCCCCCGTGACTGGGGCATCAGCTCCCCAAGTCCCCACCCTGCCCTGGTAACTGAGGCCGAGTCAGCTGCCACTTGTCACTGCATCAGAACAACATTCAGCTCTGTCCAACCCTCTGCAACTCATCCCCCAACATAACGCACCCAGCCCCTGAAGTGACCTGAATTTGCAAGTTCTCCTGTATGACACAATAACACACACCTTTTGGGGTCTGATATGATATATATGCTGGCCATGTCAATCAGTTGAGCCAATTCTATGAAACTCGTGATTAGTAAAAAGAGAAATCAATCAAAATAATCGCTTCTGATTGAACTCAGCAGAAATCAGGTGTAATGCACTCCTATCACATTGTCATTATTTCTCCATCCTCTTGTCTTCCGGACTGTCACCTCACCCTGCCCCTCCTCAGACAACCCCTCCCCTCACATCTTTCCTTGGGGATGCTGCTGAGTATCTGGGAAAGCCAGCTCTCTTCTTTTGTCCTGGGGCCCCGGCTAATGGGATTTTAATTCATGGGCCTGAATGGAGGTGCAACAACACAGGACTGCATGAGCCATGACCCCTAGACAGTCACAGCAAAAACGCTTACTTGAAATCCTCCGGGTCAGGCTGTACGTAGACTTAGATGTGTCTGAGGATGAGCATCTTCGATCTGGGGAGTTGGTCCGTGGGGTCAGAGGGACTTCACTGGCTGTGTGGACAGAGTCCCCGTCCTTGTCACTGCTCCGGCTGGCCATCCTATAGGAAGGGAAGAGGTATCAATGGTTGTCAAAAAATCTCCAGGGACTGGCATCTCCATTCCTTGGAGGGCAGACCCACAATGAAATAGCTCTCAGATCCAGTTTAGACAACTTGGGGTAATACAAACCTGAATCACCATGGCAGCCCTAAACTCTTAATAACGAGTGACTTTTTGCACAAAATGTGAAATGATATGAATAAATACTTTCCAATTTAGAACAATCTGTCAAGAATGTGCATAATTCCAAGCTAAGACTGTGGGAAGGCTTATGCAGGCTATCGCCACATGGGGGCGCCACTTTGGCTAAGCCAAGCCCAGACCCAGATCTTCAGTCTGGGAAGGAACCAAGGAGGTGTTCCTACCCATCTGAAACTGGGCAAGTGGCTTTTGGTGAGAAGTGCTCTGCTGTTTCAACCCTCACTGTGTCTACACTTTAACATGTTTTAAACGTATCATATAGCAGTGTCACTCAAGAGTTCTTTGTGTGGCAGGGCTATAGCCACAAAATGGCCCTGAGAATCAATGACAAGACCAATAGTTCAATGTGAAGAAACAGCTAAAAATGAGCAGCAGCCATGATGTAATGTGCTCCCCATGAGGATGAAAGATACTAAAAGAAGAAAAAGCACTGGGTAAGGGATGGGGAGATACAGGGTAGTAATTAAGAGCACAACCTCTTGGCCTGAACCCTGGCTGGGTGACCTTGGGCAAGGCCCTTCTCTCTGTGCCTCCATCTACCCATCTGTAAAATGGGAATAATACTAGTACCCACCTTATATGGTTGCTCTCAACACTGAATGAGTTAACACATATGAAATGCTTATTAGAATAGTTCTTGATATGTAGTAGGTATGTGCTCAACACATTCTAGCTGGCATTTATTACAATCTTTAAGATTCCCCAATCCCCATTAAGCTAGGTAAGGATGCTGGGGGGTGGAGAGAGGAGGGCAAAAAAGCTGGTGGAGTAGTGCCAGGAGATGGATGCTGCTACTGACATGCCCCTAAGCTGTCGTGGCTATAGACTGATACCTTCTGAGACTGCATCCCCTTCTCCCCCCAGCTTGACATTTAAGCCTGTGCAGAAGCTAGTCTTGAAAAATGCGAGTTTCCAATTCTAGAAGGTCTTTAGATGCAGCCTATGCATGAAATTAGACCGATCTAATATTCTTCCAAAGCAATATAAGGGTCACAGCTAGGACAAGACAGGGCATGTTATGGGGGGGTCAGAGGGGCAGGGGAATACCCAGTCCTCGCTTGCCTCCTGCTCTTGGTCTGTAGCAGATGAAATGGGGGGAGGGGGAGGGCAGGGGAAGGCACAGAAATGCAATCATACTGTATTGTTCATCCTTGGCTCTCCCTTAAACAAAAGCTGCAGCATCTTCCCAAGGTAGTAGAACCACCTCAGGCACCTCCGTGTGCATGCCTGTTACCCACCTGCCATTCGTCAGTGCAGCAGCCACCTCCACCTGTAAAGTCCCATCCGGTCTTCAAGGCTCAGCTTAAGCGCTGTCGCCCCCCTGAAGCTTCAGCTGAATCTTCTCAGTTGTCTGAACCACTCCTGCCTCCTCTGCACCCACCAGGCTTCCCAGCCCTTCCTCCAACACACTGCCATGCTGTTGCTGTTCCCTCTGCCTGGAACGCTCTTCCAGTCTCCATCTCTTGTTTGGTTCCTCCTCATCAGTCAGGTTTCAGCTTCAACAGCACCTCTTCAGAAGCTCTGTCCTGTCCCCATCACCTCTTCCCCCCATCAGCCCTTCTTTACCTCTTCAACAACGCACATAACTACTACCTTTAGTGGTGGCTTATCTTCTGCATCTGACACTAAATCCTTGCTCCATGGGGGCAGGCCAATGTCTCCTACCCACCACCAAGGCTGACCTCACCCTAGCACAGCATCTTCCATGTTTATTTTCTCAGTAAATCAATGAATGGATACACCCTTCTTGTGATTCTTATCTGATTTATCTTATCTCAAGATGATCTGAGGCATATCTTACCACCCTCCACAGCAGCCCCTTCTTAATGGGGCGATCTGTTCTTATCTTGATCAAAGGTACCAGCTGCTTAGCACCACGTATGTGCCAGGCACTATCCTTTTTTTTTTTGAAAGATTTTATTTATTTAAAAGAGAGAGAGCATATGAGTGAGAGAGAGAAAGAGAGAGAGAGCAGGAAATTGGGGCAGAGGCGGAGAAAGAAGTAGACTTCCCACTCCTCAGGGAGCCCGATGCAGTGCTTGATCCCAGGACCCTGAGATCACGACCTGAGCTGAAGGCATACACTTAACTAACTGAGCCACCCAGGCACCCCTGAGTTTACTTGTTATTAATAACCTCACCCCCCTTCCAGACTGGGGAATGGAAGGCTGGTGGGGTGGGGAATGGGGTGGGTCATTATTTTGCACCACTGTTAAACTCCCAATGAAGTCCAGCAATACCAAATTTGAACTACATGCTCTAAACTACTGAGCTGGGCATCCCTGGTGAGACCCGTCAGAGCTATGCATCTAGTAGGTCGACACATGCCTGATAAACAAAGAAGTGACCTGACTTTAGTTCACCCTTCAATGAGGGTCTTTCTGGCATCGCTCCAAAAGGAGCCAGTTGGATTGTATATAGTTTTCCTGACCTTCACTGGCCCAGCCCAGCCAAAAAAAGCTGGGGTACTCAAATGACAGGATAATATGTGACAATTAATGGTGGTGTCCCCCAAAATACCCCACACATAAAGGACTAGCTCATTTGCCACATGCTGCCCCACAGAGAGGCATGTCCTGTGGTTCTTAGCTCAAATGTCACAGTAGGAACAGCACTGCAGAGCCTGCACACTTGACATTTCTACTCCCTGACTGTTTGATAACATGCAATGCCCACTTGGTAAATAAATCTGGGGAAAGCACAAGCTGTAAATTCACTTTTTGAATGATTTAACCCGCCTCCCCTTTACAGATTTCTCTTAACATTTTGCATTATGTTGAGTGCCAAAAATATACTAAGTTGCTACCTGGGATTCAAGAAATTCATCTCAAGAAGTATGGAGAGTCATGTACCGTTGTTCAGGCTCTAGACTGCAAAGCTCTAGGTGGTATCATTCATAATGACCATGAGGTCAATGGAGTCTTCCAGAATTGTGTGGTGTGTTGGCCCTACTGGGAAGGTTCCAGCCCTCTTTTCTGCTTGTGGCAAGACCAAAGTGTCTTGCCAGAGGTTCCCAACCCCTTGCTCCCAGAAAGAGTCCTCCGCTTGCACAATGGGTCCACAGCCAGAGTACAACCGTCCTCCGGCTCAGTGCCAGGACCTAGGGCATGCATCTGTAACACTCAACATTTGGGTATTGAGGGCAAACAGTACCTGACTGTGATTTTCAGTGTCCATCAGGATTCTCCACTGGTTCAGAAACTAATTCAAAGTCCTTAAAATTTGGCATTCAAGACCCTACATGTCCTGAGCTTGCAGGCTCATTTCCCATGATTCCCCCAACTCTTCCTAAATGTTGTGGAGTTTGCCCATTCTGGGTCCAGTCCCTCCTCTCTGGTTACAGCACCCAAATTGTCTATTACAAAGATTGGCATGGGGCACCTGGGTGGCTCAGTCAGTTAAGCATCTGCCTTTGGCTCAGCCCCACATCGGGGGAGGGGGGTGGTCCCCACTCAGCAGGGAGTCTGCTTCTCCCTCTGACCCTCCCCCCTCTCATATTCTCTCTCTCTCAAATATATAGAGTCTTAAAAAAGAAAAAAAAAGAATGTGGCCAATATAAGGGTGCCTGGATGGCTCAGTCACTTAAGCATCCAATTCTTGATTTTGGCTCAGGTCATGATCTCAGGGTTGTGAGATTGAGCCCCACATTGCTGCTTAAGATTCTTCTCCCTCTCTCCCTGCCCCTCCCCACCTCAAAAGAAGAATGAAGCCAATACTGAAGAAACAGAGAGAGAGAGAGAGAGAGAGAGCGCATAAATGCATGCCCATGACAACATTTGAGCCCTTGGATCCAGCTATGCCTGAAGCCACTATCCTTGGATTTTTTCCAAAATGAGACTCTATGCAGAACTATCGTATTGGAGTACAGGATGTGAATGCACAACTCTAGCTAGACCTATGTACCTGCCTTATCTGCTATATGATATTTAAAATCTCCTGAGCACAGTAATAGGACTCTAACTAACCTCTGCATCCTGCAGTGCTTAGCACAAAGAACAGTCAAGAAATAATTGCCAAAGAAACTGAGATTAAGTTTCCAACCAGATGACTGGCACTTTCAAGATTCAATTTCTGCTTGCAGGTCAGTCAGTTGGTCAATAAATAATTTTTTGGAGTGAATGACACAGATAAAAACCCTGCCCTCACAGAGCTGGCATTCTTCTGAACATGGCTTTCAAGATACCAGGTGGGCTGAGCCAATCTCTGCCACACAGGGCACTAGAAAATGGGAATGATCTTTCTCTCTTTTTTAAAAGATTTTATTTATTTGAAAGAGAGCAAGAGAGAGACATAGCGAGAGAGCACAAGCAGGAAGGACAGGGAGAAGCAGGCTCCACACAGAGCAGGGAGCCTGATCCCAGGACCCCAGGATCTCAACCTGGGCCGAGGGCAGACACTGAAGGGACTGAGCTATCCAGGCAGTGAGGGAATGATCTCCTGATCAACGAATTGGTTTCACCACACATCTCACTCTACACATACCTGCAGGATTCAGGCTACAACCCATGAGTAACGAAAGCATTTCTTAACACTGTCTTTACACCGTTTAAAGCATCTCTATCAATACGTACAAATTCAGAAATGAATAAATACTACTCTATAAAGTATGTTATGTGCACATCTCATTGCTCTTAATCACAACCCTATAAAATAGGTTCTATTATTGTTCTCACTTCACAGATGTGGAAACTGAGACCAGGGCAGCCCGGGTGGCTCAGCAGTTTAGCGCCGCCTTCAGCCCAGGGCGTGATCCTGGAGACCCGGGATCGAGTCCCACATCAGGCTCCCTGCATGGAACCTGCATCTCCCTCTGCCTGTGTCTCTGCCTCTTTCTCTCTCTCTGTGTGTGTGTGTGTGTGTGTGTGTGTGTCTCTCATGAATAAATAAATGAAATCTTAAAAAAAAAAAACCTGAAACCAAACAGGGTGAGATGAGCCACTTACATTTATGACTGCCAACCAGGTGTCAACCATTCTTAAGTGTTTTTCTGTGTACTAATTTGTGCGGTCACCACAACAACCATATGAGATAAATACTATTATTTTGATCATCCCCATTTTATAGATGTGAAGTCAAGACACAGAGATCTAACAACTTGCCCAAGGTCACGGAACTAGAAAAAAGGTAGGAGAAACAGGATCTGAATGCATGGAGATTGACATAGAGGCATTTTGCTATGGAAATATCTGATGCTTGTCTCTAAGAAGGGTAAATGAGAAGACTGAGGCATGACCTCCAACTTGGAGGGAAAGAGGGGATATCGTGGACTTCCAGAACCTCAGAGCAAAGATTTAGCTGGACCGGCATTGAGGCTCTGGCTGTGGGCCTTTGCACTGCCTCTTGCCCTCTCTGGGTCTCCCACTGTGTCAGGAGAAGGTGTACTTGATGATGGTCAGGACCTTCTCAGCGCTGGCCTTTCTAGACTCAACCCAGACTCTCTAGCCATGTGCCTCTCTCAGCCATGGAGAGGTGGACCGGACACGTGGCTGAGAGGCTTCAAAACTGCATTCCCAAAATATCTGAGCGACTGGCAGATGGAGATGTTGTATGCAGGCGCGGGAGGAGCACGAATTGGAAATAAAATGAAAGATGCCAGAGAGAACATAAACAGCGTTGGAGGACAGGATGGAGCTTGGAGGTGCTCTTCTGCTTCCCTGTTTCCGAAGCTCTTGTTCAGACCAGCAAAAAGGCACTTGTTTGTCCGTTTGGTCTACCACTCCTGCAGCAGTTTCTACTGAGCATCGACTGTGTGCCATGCACTGGGTCAGATGCTAGGACAGTTCGTCATACTGACTTGGACAGAAAGCTTTAGAATTTCGACATCCCTTGAAGAATACAGATGCTCACAGATCTCTTTTCTGACTTGGAATGACACTCAACGTGATTAATAGTGCCCACATGCTTAGCAGTGTACAGTTCACATCTCAGAAGAGCCGATGTGAAACTAGCTAAACTTGAGCCCCGCCACCAGCTGGTTTCAGCAGCTTGCCAAACAAAATGAGAGAGGCACAGAGCAGGTCCCCATGGGCAGCAAAGAGGTCCACAGCCACTCAGCCTTTCCCTCAATCATACCCCAAACCCTCCTGCCCGCACCCCGTCTCACAAACTGAGAAAAGAAACCTCCTGAGATTGCCTTCGAGGAAGTTCAGAGCAGTTTTACTTACAGCCAGGGAGGAGTCTGGGCAGGGAAAGGTCCCAGAATTTCAACTTCATCCTCACTCGACTGGCAACAGCTGGACTCATAGCACTTCTGACAGCAGTGCCTGCAAGTCCATCTGCACAGTAGCAGATCGGAGATTCTAGAAAGAAAACCCTGAGGCCATCGGGGGGGGGGGGAGGTGGGCAGTGGAGAGGGGGAGTGGGTGGGGGATGGGAGGGGTGGAGAGGAGGAGAAGGAAAAACACTCGAAATTACAAGCAGCCGATCCCTGCTGAGAAATAAGGACATTCGGGAGGTCTGTCTCTGCTGCTGAACACTTAGAACAAAATGTTTTCCGTTTCTATTTACCAACTGCAGGCATAAAGATGGCAAACACCAACTCGCTGGAGCCATTAATAGTGAGCAAAACATTTGCAGGTATTTTCTTGGGTGGTTTATGTGAACGTCTTTCTCGACAGGTGGGTGGTTTATACAACATCATGAGGGCTATACAGTATGTTCTCGAAACACAATGAATATTACTGTCTTCTTGAAAGCAAAGCAAAAAGGTTTTTTTTTTTTTTTTTTAAATCACCTCAGTTACATGAAAGTAACCAAAAGGAGTAAGGAGGGGGCCGGGGAGGGAAATCTATCCTGTCTGTGAGCATCTCTCCATCGGGCTCTCCCTCCCTGCCATAGAAAGGCATCAAAACTGTGCCATTCTCAACATCCAGTTATCGTTTAACATTGAACATCCCCACAGCCCCACATCAAACTCCAAAATGAAAGGCAAGCACCTCTTGATCAGAAACAAGACTAAACGAATCATCGAATTAACCCACCTCGTTTAAAGGTTCCAACTGCCCTTTTAGAGATCCACGAAGAAGCCAAGGGGCGTCGGGGGTGAGAGGATTACAAAAAGAGAGACAAGACCAGTTTAGCAATATTCCAGCAACTCAGAAAAGAAAAAAGAAAGAAAGAAAGAAAGGAAAAAAAAAAAAAAAGCCCTGCATCTTTCCACTTACCATCCTGGGAAGGGAGCTGACTCCCTAACAACGTACTGCTATCTGCGGGGCTGCTGGTAGCCTCCTGGCTAACCAACACCGAATAAATGGGAAACTTTAGCATTTCGATTTGATTTGCACCGTATGCTGTTATGAATCAGAGCGGGTGGATAGATAGTCATGCTATCCAATGCAGCCACACTTCAGAAGAGCAAACCTTCCTATACAGAAATAGCCATGAAGCCAACCCAAAAGGACATGATTAGCTAAACATGCAGACTGGCACAGAGTGGATGTGACTTGGCTTCCCCCACCCTCCCAGAGGCCCTACCTTATAATTCTGCTCCAATGGTGATGGTGGGGAGTTTCATATGACCACCCACAAACACAGGGAGCAGAAGAGGAAGCCATAATCTGGTCCTGGGAGGGAGGGGCTGAAAAGGGAGGTAGCCCCACCCCCCACCAGGACTTCTCACAGGTTCCCAAGGCACACAGACTCCCTCCCCCTCTTCCAGGGAAGAGTCACAGTGGTTTAGGAATGGATGAGCCATGTAAACCCCGGAGATCAGGAGTCCAACTGCTTCTCAGCCTGGGATATATTCCGGAGATGAACTCAAACTCAGAACACTCAATCAAGATGAAGAAAGTTATCCTCCTTTTCAGTTCTCTCTCAAAATGAAGGTCTCAGTTTGGTACCACTGTATGTTAACGTGTTTCTAACACTTGCACATCTCACCCCACCACCATCCCTTCTTCCTTTTTAAACAGAGAACAGACCCTAGCTCAGAGCCTTGGACATAAGTAATTATGTGACATTATTATCATTGTGTTTATCTTTCCAGCTGCCTTCTGCTTATATCAAGTGACCATGGTTTTCTACTATCGTAGTGACATAAAGTTTCCTTTTCATATGATTTTAAGTAAAGAAAAAAAATAGTGAGTCCATTCATAGGAAAAAGTATTAAGTAAATACAGTACAAGTGGTACACGGCTCATGAAAAATTCAAAATCCTTGAAGTGATGATAAGGGAATGGTTGCAGCTTAGGAAAGAAAGCGTCAGGCATTAATCACAAACTCTTCCAAATGCAAAAGTCGAACCACACACAGAGCAAGACCCGAAGATGCTTAGGGGTCACGCAGAGCTGAGTGGGTAACTGTTGAGGCTGGCTTCACCACCAGCCAGTCCTGTGACTTGGGTAGGTCAGGGGGCTACTCTGAACCTCAGTTACCTCTTTTCTTTAGTGGAAGAGCTAAGCTAGGACTCTATGAAAATTCTTGCCTGTGCTGCCCAGCCGCAGAATATCTGCACTCTTTCCGTGGTTTTATGAGAACGAGGTGGTTTGTCAAGACCAGCTGGAACCTATTAGGCACCAGAGACTGTCCTGGCCAATACAGCAGTGAAAAAGAAGCAAAAAGCTATGCCCGCCTGCACTTACATGTGAGAAAGTGCTTGAGGACTTTTTTGTAAGCACAATAAAGTGCAAGGATAAAGTGTGGCTTTTTCCTTAGACTACAGTCCATGCCCATTCTTTTCAGAGAGGAAAGCATTTCCTGGGTGTGTGGTGATCAAAAGACACCGTTCCTAAAACCATGAGAACAGAGACAAGGCTACCACAGGGCCCAATCATCCAGCTGTCTCAAACCCCAGGTATAAGATGAATGTCAGGGAGCAAAGAGAAACCAAGAGAAAAAGGGGAGAGAAGATGTTTTTATGTTTCCAGCATGCTAAGTCTTTCCTTACATTGGGTCCACCGGGTTCGGGTATTTGGATGGAGGATCACTGATTTAAGCCAAAAACACCAAGGAGAATTCAGATCTTCTAGAACAGGGGTTGTCAAGCTATGACTTGCAAGGCTAAATCCAGCCCACAACCTGTTTTTGTATGGTCCTCCAGTTAAGGATGGTTTGTACCTTTTTAAATGGTTGGAAAAAAAAAAAAGAAAATGAATACTTCCCCACTAGTACAAAGTTGATGATATTCAAATTTCAGTATCCACAAATAGTTTTCTTGGAACACAGCCACGCCCATGCATTTACTATTGTCTATGGCTGTTTGATATCGCAGTCAGAGTTGACTATTTGTGACACGGACCACGTAGCCCTCCAAGAAAATAAATTTACTATCTGGACCTTTGTAGAAAAAGTTTCATACCTTGTGCTAGAAGGAAAGTCAGTATCACAGAGCCAGTCTCATTTTAGCTTAACAAATCCCCCACTGATCCCCACCATCCTCTCTCTTTTAGGTCCCACCACACCCCCTAAGCAGCTGTGTGACCTTGGGCAAGTCACTCATCTCTGTCCTAAAGGTGCTTATTAAAAAACCACAGAGGCGGGTTCTAATGTCCTGCATTTCTCACTGGGTTGTGCATCCTGAGGGGCAGAGACTGCTGTTTTCACAACTGTATCCCCAGCGCCCACACAGAGTAGGCAGTCACTCCAAGTGTTTGTTGAGTGACTATCCAATAGCCCCACGACAACATTCAGCATGCAGTAAGCGTACAGCTCAGTGACGTGACCTTCACTGAACTTGAGGACCTAGACATTCCACAGAGGCCAAGGGAGCCAGTCTAAGCCAGGTGAGGGATGGAGAGACCACCACCGGTGACAGAGCACAGAGTTCCTGCCAGGCTGAAAAGTCCGGACAGGATATTAGTCAGTGGGGAGCCAGGAGACCAGCACCCCCGCCCTGGCGGGCTGTAGCCGAGGGTAAGAGAAGGGAGTCCAGATGCACCCTAAAGGGGGGAACCTGTAGGCTTCTCTGTTAGGCAGAGAGAGGAGCCAGCCCCAGAAAGCAGGCAGCTCAACGGGTCTGACTGCAGGTCTGACTGCATGACCTTGGCGCTGACCTGTCGCCACTTCCCCGCCTTGTATTGAAGGGAAAGGTCTCAAGCAGCCCCCCACCCCCCCAAAAAAAGGATGCTCGGAAATTATTTCCTTCCTTCGCAAAGATTCTTGCGAAGTTTCCTCCAGGTGTTGGGGTTCACAACTCGCAGACCCCAAGGCAAAGGCCGGAAACGATCGAAGGCGCCCGCCCCCCGCCCCCCGCCCCCCAGGCCTCGGCACCCCGTGCCCGGGAGAGGCGACGTCCTTGTCCCTCCCGCCCGGAGCAGCTGCCTCGGGCCCGCTCCGCCGGCCAATTAGCCCGAGCCGTCACCACGGCAACGGCAGCTGGCGGGCCCCGCGGCCGGCGCGTCCCGGGCCGCCCTGGCGCGGCCCCTCCCCGGGGGTGGGGTGCGGGGGGCCGGGCTGCGGGGAAGTCGGCCGCACCCCCTGCGCTGCGGCGAGGCCGGGGCGCGCGCGGAGCCGGGGGGCCTCCATCCCGGGGGCGGGGTCCCCAGCCCCCTGCCCCCTGCCCCCTGCCCCGGGGCGCGCCCCGCCGCCGCACAGGTGGCGCGCCCTGGGGCACCGCTGCGGTGGAGCCAAGTTGGCGGGAGCCCGGCCGCGCGCCGTCAGCCGAGGGGGCGCCGCGGCCCCGGCCCCCCGGCCTCAGCCCTACCTGGATGTACGCCATCTTCGCCCTCGCGCGCTCACTCCGGCCCGGGCATGGCGCCGCCACGGCCGCTCTGCCCTCGCCCGCAGGGGCCGCGGGGCACAGCCAAGGGGGGAAGGAAGCAAGAGGCAGCCGGGCGGCCCCAGACGTGACCGGCGTGGCTGATGAGCGGCGCCCGCCCCTCCGCCGGCCGCCCCGTCCTTGCCCTTCCCCGCGTTCCTGCTCCCGGGGCCGGGGCCGGGGCCGGGGCCGGGGCCGCCTCCCAGGCTGCGGGCGCTCGGGGCGCCCGGGGCCCCCGCCGCGGCCACGCTCGCCGGCCGCCGCTCCCCCCAGGCGCGGGCCGGGCTGCGCGGAGCCCCGGGCGGCCGCGGGCGGGGCTGGAGGCGCCGGGGCCGGGGCGCGCGGGCGCGGGGGCGGGCGCGGGGGCGGGCGCGGGCGGCGCGCGGGCCGGCCCCTCCGCGCGCCTCGGGCCGGCCCCTCCCGAGAGCGCGGCCCCCGGCACAGCCCTGCAGCCGGCGGCGCCCAGGCCTGCCCGCCGAGGAGGCCGGGGCGGGCAGGGGCCTCCCCATCCAGCCCTCTCCCAGTCCCGGTCGGAAAAACTTTATTCCCGCCCCACCCGAACGGTGCACGACGCGCCCGGAGCTGCTGCGGCGAGGATCGCAGGGGCCGGGGGCTTGGGAGCCCCAAGCTCAGGCGGGGCGGGGGGCGCCCGGGGGGCCGCGGGGGCGCGCGCCGAGACCCGAGCGCCCCCGGGTCCCGAACCTGCCGGAGTTGCGCCCCGGGCGCAACAGGTCGGCGGCGGGGCGGCCCGGCAGCGCCACCCAGCGTCGCGCCCGCGATGTGCGCGCGTCCGCCGCCTCGGGCGGGCTCCGGGGCCAGCGAGCGAGTGCGCCCCGGGACGGGTCCCGCGGGTCCCCTCGGCGCGCGTGGCCGGGGCGCCCCGGGCCTCGGGAGCGGGGGGTTAGAAGTGGAACATTGCCCTCCGCCGGTTCTCTCGTGAGCACGTTTTGCAGCCTCTGCCGCCCGGCGCCTCCCGTCTGTCTTTTCTGCACTAAAAAAAAAAAAAAAAAAAAAGGCATGGAATCTCCGTCCTTGCGTCCTGCCTTCTCTCCAAGGCTGCTTTGTGGGGATACGTGAGCAAATGAGCGTGGATGTCATAAATAAATGGCATAACGTGCCTCTGGGTGGGTATTTGGCGTGAAAATCCAGCCGGCACACATTCGTTAGCACGGAAGATTTCATTCGTAGCGCGGCGTGCAACACAGGCCGAGCACGCATAATCAGCCGGGCAACGTGCTCCACTGTCCACCAGCACGGTGTCATGCCCTCGTCCCCCTGCCCTGCTCACGATATGGCCAGCACGGTGCCTGACCTGAGGAGGCACTCAAGAAATGCTTTTGTGTTTGCAGGGGGGGCTCCTCCTGTTTGAGGGAGGCGCTGCAGGCGCCCCCCCCCCCAGTTCACAGGTGAGACTGGGGTGCAGGAGGTAGAGACCCCTCAGAGAAGCATGCAGCTGGCGTTGCAACCCGCACAGTGCACCCTCCTAACCACTTAATGGTATTTATCCCCGATGTTTCTTCAACACTGATGGAAAAGGTGCTGGGTGGGGAGAGGGCCTCCCTGGGATTGGGCGCTTTTGTGGGGAACTTGAGAGAGGTGGAAGAGTTAGCCAGGTGTTCCCAGGTGTTAAGAACAGCTAACCTGGGCAGCCCAGGTGGCTCAGCGGTTTAGTGCCCCCTTCAACCCAGGGCCTGATCCTGGGGACCCAGGATTGAGTCCCACATCGGGCTCCTGCATGGAGCCTGCTTCTCCCTCTGCCTGTGTCTCTGCCTCTCTCTCTCCCTCTCTGTGTCTCGAATGAATAAATAAGTAAATAAAAATCTTAAAGAAAGAAAGAAAGAAAGAAAGAAAGAAAGAAAGAAAGAAAGAAAGAAAAGAAAAGAACAGCTAACCTTTTGGAGATGGTGTGCCAGGCTCTGCTTTAACCCTTTTGCCCAAATTCAGCTTTGACTTCCCTGATAAACATAAGGTGGGCATTGTTGCCATCCCAGTCTCTGGATGACAAAAGAGGAGGCATGAAGCGGTGGAGTAACTTGCCCAGGGGGTAGATGGTATTGGGGAACAGTTGGGATTCAAACCTAGACAGCCTGCACCAAATCCTTCCCCTTGTCAGGGCACCGCACTGCCTCCCAGTGCTGGGTATTGGGGGAAAAGGGAGGGAATCCTTAGGGTTAGTTTAATACCTTAATCCCTAAGGACTTAAAACTGAGAAAACCGGGCACCCCTCCCAGTGAAGGTTATTTTATTTTTTTTTTGAAGGTTATTTTAAATGGGCGTAATAGAACCTACCTCTGAGGTTACCAAATACTTTCTGGTGTGTAAGCACCTGGCACACTATAGGTGCTTAATAAGTGCTTGTTGAATGAGTAAATGGATGGTAACAATAGCTAATATGGATGCTGCCAACCTTTGAGTCATTATTATGACCGAGAGCTGAGCATTTCACATGCATTCACCGGAGCATTCACAAGGTAGGTACTATCGTCATCCCATTTTCCAGGTGCAAAAGCTGAAGCTCTGAAGAGAGGAAGTGAGTCACTGGAGTTAAAGAAGTGAAGGGTGACAGGGACAGGACCAAAATACAAATCTGTTTAACTCCGGAAGCCCAGCTCCTCAGAGCTGCACCATCCTGCCTCCAAAGAAAGAATGAACAAGAAGTCAGTTGTAAGTCATTCATCAGATGTCACTCGAAGCCTGGCTTTCAGGGTCCCCACCTCCTCTGTCTGCCCTTCACAGGGATGTGTAGTCTGGCTTTCTTTTTTTTTTTTTTTTAAGATTTTTATTTATTCATGAGAGACACAGAGAGAGGGGCAGAGACACAGGCAGAGGGAGAAGCAGGCTCCCTGCGGGGAGCCCGATGTGGGACTTGATCCCAGGACCCTGGGATCACGTTCTGAGCCAAAGGCAGACGTTCAACCACGGAGCCACCCAGGAGCCCCTGTAGTCCGACTTTGAGGTGTAATATGGACTCAGAGCAAGGCTGTGCCTGTCTGGACGAGGCAGCTGGCATCCACCCAGCTCTCCGTAGAGAAGCCCCTACTTGAGAATTCTGCAGGGTTCCTGAAATTAGGAAGGAAAAGAGTTCCACCTCCATTGTCACTAGCCTCTACATGAAATTCAGTACCTCCTTTCATTTGGGACGCAGACAACAAACCCCAGCAGATTAAAACATTTACCTGGGTTTGTGACCAATAGAAACAGAGAGTAGAATAGAAATAGAAGTCAGGGGATGCTGGGTGGCTCAGCGGTTGGGCGCCTGCCATTGGCTCAGGGCGTGATCCTGAAGACCTGGGATTGAGTCCCACATTGGGGTCCTGCATGGAGCCTGCTTCTCCCTCTGCCTGTGTCTCTGCCTTTCTCTCTCTCTCTCTCTCTCTCTCTCTCTCTCTCTCTCTCTCATGAATGAGTAAATAAATAAGTAAAATCTTAAAAAAAAAAAAAGAAATAGAAGTCAGTTGAAATCAAGTACATTCGTATCACATTACAGTTGTTGCGAATAACTTGAAGTTTTATTTGCACTCTTTACTGCTTGAAAATCACAACTACTAGGTCTATCTAATGCATTAGTGAAGAAGAACATACATTACCATATTTAAATTGGTTTTAATATTTTGATCAGTGTCTATCAATGGAAGTATCATTTCATTATAATCCTAGGTATCCCACTGTATGATTTAAAGGCATTATTCTGAGATGGGGTCTACAGGCTTCAACAGGCCATTGGGGGGTCCATGGCACAGAAAGGATTAGGAGCCCCAGCAAGTAGCATTGTGCGTTAGCCTAGGGGTGAGAGTGAGAACTGCCAAATAATTTTCTGGCTAGAGCAAGGGGAGGACGGTGCCAGGTGAGGTTCAACAGGTAGAAGAGGCCAGATGCCCTGCAGCCTGGGAAGTTACTCCACAGAAGAGCAGGAAGGGTTAGGCCCAGAAGGATTTTGGCAGGGGTGTGTGTATGTCTGTGTGTGTGTGTGTCTGTCTGTGGACATGGAGTAGACAAGCCTGGAGGCGGGGAGGATATGGTGGTGATCCAGATATGAGGCGATTTCGAGCGTGAACGATGGTCACGGCGGTGAATCAGTAGCTGTAACTGAATGGGCAGTGAGGCTGTAGAAGGCAGCCGAGGCTAGATGAAGGCAGGTTTGCTGGGGGAGGAGTTGGGGTTTTCTATTTGCATATGTTGAATCTCAGACACATATTATGTAAGGTTCCTGGAAGAGACTCATGTCCATCCAGCTTGAACGAAAAAGAACTTGTGGGCTCACTGACTGGGAAGTCCGAGGGCAAATCCTAGAAATCCATGGCTGGATTTAGAGATGCAAAAGAAGTCCTAAGGACTCACTCTCTCCATATCTCACCTCTTCACGGCTTTTCTCTGAATACGTGAAGTTTTTCTCCTGGAGGGGGTTTGCTTCCCGTGGCAGAAACACGGCCAGTGGTGAACGTGAGTGTATGTTTTAATAGTTAAAGCTCCAAAAGTAAGAGAGGCTTTTTATGAAATCTTA